GCCAATATATAATTTAATTAAATATTTATTCATTATACGAAGATCGTCTGTCATTTTCATCACAAAAAAACGAAATTACTTTCCGAACAACCCAATATATGAAATCATATATGAATTTGCTCATGTGGTTACATACATGATCATATATATTTATATATATATCTATACGAAAAAAATGATGCTTTTTTTCGTTTAATTGAATGTCGATATAATATGCTGTCAGAAGCACAAGTAGCCAGAGAAGTATTTATTTCGATTGTATTGGCATATAATTGATAAACAACAGTATATTTTCGTTGTGGACATATATGATTATATATAGTCATGCATGGGCAAATTTCATATATGATCTTTTTTTTTCCCGGGCAATAAATAATCGTGAAAGTAATATGAAAAATCACGAGAAAGACAGGCCGAAAAGGAAGATTGCATGTTAAGTTAATTTTATTTCATATTATTTTCATTAATTGTTAGAGCAAAAAGAAAATTTTCAGAAGATTTTACAGATATGCTTAATCGATCAAGTATCATTTTATGTCATTTTATCTTAATAATGTATTCAAGAATTTCGGACATACGGTTTCTTGCTTCGTCATTAATCAAAATGGCGTGAGAGAACAGGAGCCTTAATATTATTTATTTATTTATTTTCATCAACGGATACTCATTTAATTATAAAGGAAATAAAAGACAAAGGCCTGTATTCTCTTTTATCGCTAAAGGTACCTCTAAAAATAGCTTAAGAACCGTTTAATTAACTGGGAAGCCACATTTAAGGCACTTTTATCGATAAAAGAGAATTCAGAATACAGGCCGAAAAGGAGAGAAATAAAATAAGGCGAAAAAGGAAAGAAAAGAAATGAGAAAGAGAATAAAACTGATGAAGAAAGAAAGAAGTTTTGCCTCAGTTTGCAACCGCGTTATCACGTCGCCTGTCGTCGATTTCTCTACAATTGTTCTCGCTGGTACTTTCAGGAACATTTTGCTCAATTATGCGGTTTACAATTGCCGCTTGGGCTACACCCAAGGGATGTCGGACCTCTTAGCCCCGTTGTTAGCCGAGCTCAATTCCGAAATCGAGGCCTTCTGGTGTTTCGCGGGTCTGATGCAGCGATCGGTGGCCGTGTGCACCCCCACCGACACGGACATGGACAGGAATCTGTGCTACCTGCGAGAGTTGGTGAGAATAATGGTGCCGGACTTTTACGCGCACCTGCAGAAGCACGCGGACGCCTTGGAGCTTCTGTTTTGCCATCGGTGGATACTCCTGTGAGTCTCGCGCAAATAGCGCTTATTTCTTCACACATCGTTTAGAGTACGTTCATTGTCTCGTTGTTCTCTCCTCACTGCAGGTGTTTGAAGAGGGAATTTCCAACCGAGATCGCGTTGATCATGTGGGAAGCCTGCTGGGTCAATTACTTAACGGATCATTTCCACTTGTTCCTCTGCCTAGCCATAATGTGCGTTTACGCGGACGACGTGATCGCGCAGGACCTCAGGACGGACGAGATGCTGTTGCACTTCAGCTCGTTGGCCATGTACATGGACGGGAACGTCATACTGAGGAAGGCACGAGGCCTACTCCACCATTTCCGTCAGCTTGTACGCTTACCCTGCACGTTAGCCGGCTTGTGCCGCCAATGCGGCCCGGGTATGTGGGACAGCACGCACGACCCGGTGATAGAGTGCGTGGGCCACGAGGACACGCCTTGTCCTTATTTAAATAATTACGAGTAACCTTCTCGTTTCAGAAGGAAGGCAGAAGGGAGGAAATCAGTATTACTTAGGGCTGTTGATCCCTTGCGGTCGTCTTGCTTGATGACGTCACGTGAGCGAGAACACATGTGTCCAAAATTCTTACGAAGCACGAACGGTGAGATAAAAGAACATGTCCGTAAAGTGACATTTGCGATCGATTCACGGGACACTTGTCATACGTTCCGAGAAAACTTTTCTTTTAGAATTGTTATAACATGCAACTTTCCTTTTTTAACTTACCTACCTTTTTCCATGATCTTATCACGTTAATCTTACGGCTATTTATTGATCGTTAGAAGGTAACTCTTCGGAATATTTTACACGTGCTCGATCGCAGGTATTTTCTGTTGATATATCCCCTTATTTCAACGTATTCCGCAAGAATTCTGAGCATAAGTTTTCTCGTCTCTGACGTTGTTAATTTAGATGGCTGTGCGTTGAAGAGAGGGAAACCTTAACGCGTGGATCCACACTTATTTCGTCGGCTCATTCAATTGTAAACCCTTGTTCTCTCTTTCTCTCTACACGGATCCTCCTTTGTATTCGTAGCGTAAGTTTTGTACGGCCACCGATCTGTCGAGTTTAACGTTACACAGAGTTCGACTGTGTTGGCCACGCTCCTTGGGTTTACGCGCAAATAAGTAATGTGTAATTGTGCGTCTTTGTGTTGTACCAAGCTGTATCGAGGACACTACGGATGGGCGAAGCGCCGCCGCAACCGGCGAGGATACGTGAAAATTAATTATCTCTCCGTTACCTCACCACCACGTCAACACATCAGTCCAATATAACGCCGCAATATAACGCCGAAGCGTTCGAAGACATATCTCGCGAGACCCGACATTTCCAGGGCGAAATTCATCGTCGATCGTGAAGTTAAAAAGCTCGTAAGAGCTCTGACTCATAGTAGTACGTACGTACAGACATACTCGCGACGCAACGTTAAAAAAAGGAAAAAAAAAAGTAAAGAAAATAGATATCCATAGTATTCGTAGTGTTGAAGACTGACAAACGAAAGGGGATAATTAGCACATGCGTCCGAGTGTCCCGACAGCGGGGACGAGAGGGGAGATATCCGTCATTTAATCTTATCTTCGATATGTAACGACTCGGAGGAATTCGATAGAGCGAGCTCGTCCGCGCGGAGAACCAAAGAAAGAAATCAAATCACACACACATACACACATACATATACAAGTACGAGATAACTATTTATTATAAATAAATATATATATATTATATATATATATATATATATATATATATATACACACACAAAAACGTATGGTTAGTCGCAGAAAGGTTGCGACACTTTTTATTTGACAAGTTTCGCGATGCATCTCGTATTCATTAGGAAAAATGCATCTCCTAAGAACTACTGAAGAACAAGTTCTTCTATCGGGCACGGACGGGATATGTTTCGAAATTTATCAGAAAACAAGGGATCGCAACACCTTTTCGTGACTGGCTATACACGCGCGCGCACGCCCGTCGCAAGTGCGAATGGCGTGTGCGTTCACTCCGAAGTGTTCACTTCTGTTCGCGTGTATACTTGTGGTCGCGTTTACTTGTCGCGTACGTAGACTAGTGGTGCATCGAACAGCAACTATTTTCTTTTCTCACGCGCACAGTTCTTTCGGGACTCGAGGCGCCGCGCCTCTATTATCGACTTCGCCCTTCGTCGAAGGAAGGTTCTCGCTTGTCGTCACGCGCGATCGCACGCATCGTTACTTGTTTCTCCACTTCGCGGAGCCCACTTCGGAACAAATAGGATTATTACCAAGATAAGTTGGCGATCTCAATGGTACTCGTAAGCGAACACGCGTATTGTAATTTGTATTCTCGTTCGTTTTCTCCTTCTTCTCTTTTCTCTCCCTCTCTCTCTTTCTCTCTCATTGTCACGTGAGAGCGAGAGAGCTATATCATTTATCCGAAATCTCAACAGATACCGTGCCTATGCAACCGAGGCGATCGTGAACGTATATCAGCGCGCTTAGTCTACTTGATCAGGGATGTGGAATTTTATCGAAGAAAAAAAAAAACAAACAAATAGCTTTTATCGCTTTTATCGTCGCTATCTTGTGTCGTTGGAATCTTGAAGAGAAATCTATCCGTGTTAAGATCCGCCTCGCGCGAAACTCAGTACGAAATAAATCTAAGAGCGTAGAAAGAAAGGAACAAAAAAAAGAAGCACAACGTGTGTGTGTACATATAACGGTGGGAATAAATCGGCAGAGACTTGTATAATCAACTATTTATTATTATCCGCTCTTCGCAATTGCTCTTGGAAAATATATATATGTATACATATATATACATATACACACATATACCCGCAACGTTCTCTCCATTGCATTGCTATTACGTTTCGGTACAGGTACACAGGTATGACCGGACATACGTTGCGAATACCATTTCTCTTTTGGCAGTTTTATACATATGTATATATATACCCTATACAAAAATATGATTCAACAACAAAACATATAAACGTTACGCACTCTCTTGCTGTTGCCGCTATCTCACTACCCGATTTCGCTATTATTAGTATTTCGTCATAAATGCATAAGAATACAAAGAACGAGACTGCGCCGCGTAAAAGGATACAAAATGCGATAACAGTGATCAGAGAGAATATCGCAACGAAACTACGCCAAGTCCGTAGCCGGAGCAATTCCTTCCTCTTTCTCCTTCTCACCTCCCGCTCTTTCTCCTCTTTTGGCAAAGTAAAAATACAAAGAGAAGAATGGAGAGATTCCCTGTTACGCACATTAACGGTCTACGCTTCCGGACTTATCTAATATTCGACTTGTACGCGCCGACTTGTGCCAGAATATTGTCGTTTCGTCATAGACACGTGCCGGCATACTGCACTGCCTCGCACAAATGTCTTAAATCATTAAGCTACCCTAAGGGATATAAATCCTCGCGAACCAGTCGTCAGTCGTTCTCCGCCTACGTTCCTCGCGACTTCAATAATAATCGCGATAACCTCGCCAGCGATACTTCGCGAAACCGTACCGCTCCGGATATGCGATCAACAACTTTCGTAAACTCTCGTCTCCCTTTCATACAATTTCACACAACAGGAGCCACGTCCGAAGAGCGAGGCCCTCTTCTTCTCTTTTGATTATGTACGACACGGAGGGTGTTCACGTCGTTATCCGCTACTCGGCACGAGATGTATCTGTATGAAATTGACCGACACCAAGATCATACAGGCGATCGCCCATATCACGACGAAGAAGAGCCAACATCTGCCGGAGAAGGGGCTTGCGAATTTGTTCACGACGCCGAGGCCGATTACCTTATTGGTCTCTTGCCTAGCGTAATAGACCAAGAAGGTGGGTATCAAGTATTGAATCCCCGCTCCAGCGTACGATCCGGTGATACCGACCAATATCGACAGATCCTTGGTGCTCATTGCGATCAGATACGGCGGTATCACTGCCAAGATAGGGAAGACGAGTTTGCGAAGACACAAATTGTAAGACGTATCCTCGTTAAGAAAGAGCGATTGCAGGTTATTCCTCAGGGTGATCGCTATAATGGGGAAACTGGTACTCAGGGTGAATACAGGGAAGAGCGCCAGGAAATATTCTATAAGGAGCATGACGATGTTGTTGCTCTTGGAGCAGTCGCCCGAGCCGCGTGGCCCGAAGTCCAGCGTGTAGAGATCGTCCAGGTGCTCGAAGGCGAAGGCGCCTGTCAGTGCCAGCAGTAAATAAAACGAGGCGATCAGTATGTAATCGAGCGCGAGGAATCGATTTAGCATCGATTTGTTCGCGATCGGCGCCACCAGGGCCGGTAACGAGTGATGACACATGAAGGAATAAACGCAAGCACCGAAAAGACTAGGAATCCCTAAAACAGCGACACATCATTATGACTTTACAGTAATCGTAACGTCCCACATGCTCGATAACGTTGATACACAGGGTGTCCCAGCACAAGGAGAACACCTAAATATCTCTTTTCTTTTCAATAATATAAGAAATGCGTTCAGAGCATGGTTTGAATGGTCTCGAAGGAGGAATACCGTGGAAAGAACAATTTCTCGTTCTTTTCGATCGCTTTTGAAGTTCTCATATTCAGACGTTCCTCTTATGCTGGGATCTGTATTTAATGGAATATCACAAGAGACATCATCATCACGATCTTCCAGCTTACCGGTTATATTTGCAACAGGTGGATCGCCCCGAATACCGTGTTGAATAAGTTTATTTACAGCGTACACGATCATAATAGTGAACGCGAGCCATCGCATCACCGAGGTCAATAGCTGCAGATACTTGGTTTTCTGAACATTAAAGAATACAAACGGCCCCAAAGATAGCACGAACACTGTCTGAAATGTATAAAACAAGAATTACTATCGGTGTACTTCTATCGTACTCTGATATTTTCATTCCGGTAATAGCTTTCAAGAATGAAACGTGTGTTCAAGTCGATGACGTACCAGGAATATTCTGTACGCGTCCATTCGGTTCAACATGGGACCTTCCCAGCAAAGTTCAGCGTCTGGTATGGTGTCATTGCACGTAAGATTGCTTGGCTGGTAAGTACAGGCGACATCCGCTAACGATTTTGCAACCGCAGCGCCGTAAATACTCAGATCACCGTACAGATATACAGCCAAGCACAGGTAGAACAGCGTAGTGCCGAATTTGTTGAAGAAGATAGATGCCATCTGGCCCATCTCTATTCTGTCATGAATAACATAATATCTATAAGTATTATCCAAACGTTCAGGACTACTCGAGGTGGGAGCTACCAGTGGAGTATCTTCGGAATCTGAATTGGAAGGACCAGATTCACCCAACGTTTGTAAAGCCTAAAAAAAAAACAGGTTAAATATTAATGTTAAACTAATGTTAAATATTACTCTATACATATAAGTTACATATGTAAGTCATCAACAATATCACACAATGAATCATTATCATTAATTTCTATCTATATTTAAGATATCTATGAGACACTCGATCATATTATCGATTGCGAGAAGTTAATCTGAAAATGCTTACACGTTTTCGATGCTGAATGTGCCTCCATGTGATTATAGCATTAGCAGACGCCATCGCTTCTATGACGAATGTAACTGTGACGAAGCTAGAGAAGAAAATTCTGTCAGACAGCTGATCAACCGACATCTGGATGCGCCCGCGAGTGCTTCAACAGAAACAAAGTTCCTGCCAGTTTACCTGATGAACGCTAACACTAAGATGACGCTCAGTCCAAGTCCCCATCCTGCCCGGCTGAACACAGCAGGTAATGTCAGAGCGCCTGTTCCAACGATGAGATTGAAGATGTACACGAGGCCGACCTGCAACACGTTCCCTTCTGGTAGAGGCACGATCTCGGGTTAAGGTTATGCGCCGCAGCGGCGATTCGGGCTCGACGTTCTCTTACCCAGGTCGAGTACTGGTCGCTGAGATTCTGCTCGTTCATCTCGGGCCAAGCCAACATCAGACACGAAGAATGTATCGAGAAACGTTCTACTTCGCCGTCACACGTCATACGTCACTGTCGGTGACAGCAACCTAACACCTAATACCGATGATCACCTTATCGCTTTGTACTTTAACGCTCACGATGACTAACTCCGCGTCGAATCATTTAAGTACATCAAAATCGACAATATCGTACTCATATTCACCCATTCGCGCGATCTTCCACTTCAATTTCGGGACCTCAACTTGAGTTCATCAACGACTTTCCGTTACGAGAGGCAGATGCTGACTGTTATTGATGAAAGCTCTCACGTTTGTGATACACAAACAAGTTGTTGATAAATTTTTCATGTAAAAATAGTTTATTTAATACACCCCGGTATTTAGAATATCGATCTTCATCCTCGATTTAGTTTGGAGTGGTTAGTGCGCGTCATGTCAGTTTTGAAGAAACGTTATCGGCGGTATTAATTAGCACAGGTAGTGAAGTATTTGGGTCGCAAACAATCACAGATTTGACTTCACTGTGATTTTACTTCATTTTATTTTGATTTACACTTCTGATTTCTGATTACTTAAAGACACAGATTGATAGACAATTATGTGGGTGTACTTTCTAATAGATTTTCCCAAGTGAAATAATGAATTAATTACAAAAAATATGTATTAGTTATTTGATATAACTGTACATAAGCATAGATAACAGTAAAATATTTAAGAAGTATTCATATAAATAAATATACCCGTGAGTTGATAAGTTAATTAATATAATTAAATAAGCAAAATATGTTATATTATATAAAAATAAAGGTCCGCGTGAATTTCCATTGACTCGTACTACTTGATAATAAAAGTACGTCTGATTTATCATTTAGTCGTACTGTATTCGCAATTCTTCGGTGAGGATGGAGCGAGTCTTAATAGAGACTTTGGAACTAATAAAGTAACGTGTCTAACCAGGTGCTAAATAATTCGTTACGGTTAGACCCGTTACTTTTATTAGTTCTCAATTTTTATCGAAGAATTGAGGATATACAGAATTATTATTTTTAAATAATATACTATATAACAATACAGAATTATTATTTTTAAATAATATACTATATAACAATAATTGATTTATTCGATCTTATATTAAACTACTTTTATTCATTTATAGATAATGCTTATATATATATATTATGTGTGTGTGTGTGTATTTATTTATTTATTTATTTATTTATTTACTTATTAAAAATAATATATTATATTTATCATGTGATATTCTTATTTAAAAATTTTTATTAATATTATATACACGGTGTCTCAAAAGTCCCGGAACTTTTTTGGTAGCAACGGCACATATCGCGCCATCTGTCGTATCGATAGTGGACTATTTGTAGAAGCCTTGTTTACATATATGTTCAACGCCAAACTTGTTCGTTCTTTTTGCTTCACTAGTACCTCGACAAAACCGATTGTAAGTACTAAAAATGCTTTTCAAAGTTTTTGGACCGATGCAATGCACATATTTGATCGGAAGGGATGTATTTTGAATAATATTTATTAAAAGTTTTATTTCCTAGCGAACAAAGTGAGTTTCATTAAAAGTTCCGGAACTTTTGGGACACACCATATACACTTATGTATTTGTGAAATATAAAAAGAGGGAGGTTTCACAAATTTGAAGCTTGCAACCACTCGACTAAAATGCATTTTCAACTGCATTAATTAATAATATTAAGAATTTTCTTCATTACTTACAAAAGTTGCAAATTAAATTGATATTAAAATCGACCATCAAGGTATACCTGAACAAAGCGTTTTTACATTCGTAAAAGCGATTGTAAACATAATTTGTACAAAGAATCACACACACGTGTTTCCAACAGGGAAGCTTGTGCAAAGTTCGCACAGCTGGGGAAAGGACAAATTTCGTTTTTAATTTCTCAGAGACGCGATCGACCGTGCTGCGTGCTGTCATTACTCCATCCGAGCATAATGCGGAATAGATCGTGATATCTTATCAATCTCTATCTAGTTTCACCATTCGCGCGATTCCAAGCAGTATTTTCCGACATTCTATCTCGGATTTTTATACACGTCGCGATATATCTGTCAGTCTCACGGGGACTGTTAAAAAATGCAGTTAAAAGGAAACGACCTCCGTAATCGTTTCAGATACTCAACGCGGACGTTACATTGATGCGAGACCGGAGCGAGGCGGAAGTTCGGAATTTCAAGTGTGAAATTACGCGTGACTCGCGTCGGAAAAAAAATCTACCACGTACATTTCCACGTGGACGCAGCTTCTTCATCCTCGCGCAGGTCGTTACTTTAGTTCCGCCGGAAAAAAATGTGGCGATACGCGGGGATCATCGTCGAAGAGACGGTGCGTCGAGCGGGTATGAAGAGACGGGCTTGATTGAAAATAACTTTTTTTTATTTTACTCAAGAGATGTATAAACCTAAATCTTAGAGTAATAATCGTAATTCGTTAATCGCGTTATATTATCGGTAATCAATGCCAGAACTACATTTACGTGTAAAAAAGGGGAGTCCGTGAACGGACACACACACCGAACGAGAACACGAGAGAACGGTTATACAAATTAGTCCGCGCCGTCTGGGCTCGCAAAGGGACAAGAGAAGTGCGTGGAGGAGAGCGGGATGAGTGCGGAGAGCGATGAGAGGATGAGCGGACGAGATGACGATTTTCAAAGAGACACAAAAACAAACAACACACTGACACAAGACGATCGTGATATTTTTTTTTTCTCAGACTTTTATTTTATAATCCCATAAGTCTAAAGTAGTCTTTAAGATGTGTGTACGTGAATGGTCTTGCGCAATACAATGGGAATAAATTATAATACTTTGGCTACGCTTGCGGGGTCGGAACCGTGGTGGTGGTCTTTTCGTTTTGCTTCTTTTTTTTTTTACCGTTATTTGCTTGAGCGAGCGTTCTCGTAGGGCCTTTTTCCGGATCAGCGGTTTACCCCATCGTGTAAAAAAAAAACAAGTAATAAAAAAAAAGGGGGGAAGAAAACACAAAAGAAAGAAAGAAAACGAAGAATCAGCCATCTTTTCCCTATATAGCGATAGGCGAGAAACGATGATTATACGAGAGGTAAACAAAAGTAAGAAGTCATCAGAGGCCTATCCCCTTTCTCTCTTTCTCTGCGCGGAATGACATATGAAGTGTAAAATTCGAAAGACAGCTTCGACGCGAGCTTCTTCTTCTTCTTAAAAATACCGCACACATTGATCGGAATGCATCGAACGGCGTAAATGTTGATTGCCATGTCGGGGGGTGGGGGGAGACCGTCTCTTTTCGCGGCAAGCTCTAATACGACGATATCTTGCCCGCGGTAGAAACCTCATCCATCGTCACATCGCGAACGTTTCTTGCTCGAACGGTTCTCTCTATTTTTTTTTTCTCTCTCTCTCTCTCTTTTTCTCCGAAATAGAATAATGGCAATCGGAGCGCGCGCGTACATGTGTTTGTGTGTGAGTATACACGGATAATGTGTATTAATTGCTCGCGTTGGAGAGGACGTGATGAATTATCTTCGCTAAGCGCTAAACCTCGTAGACAAGTTTTTACTCGAATATATATATATAGGTATATATAATACTCGGAAAGAGGATACCCGTTACAGGGATCGGGGAGGGGGGG